AATTATGTCGAAATAAATTTGTGATGAAAAATACAGGGTGTTCCATTTGAAAAATTCTCATGATCGTCGTCTGAATCTTACAATATTCAGGATGTAAATTTTAGCACCCTGTAAAGGATTATCTCGCAAGATTACTGGATTGGTATACGTGAGACCTTGCTACTACTGTATGCCAAATATATTTTCGAAATTTCAATAAATAAATATACCATACCCAATTGAACATGACCCTTCAATAGTAGTAAAAATGGGTTTATCAATTATAACTTGGCAACGCCGAAACCAAATTCATTTTTTTTCACATCAGCGATGTAGAGCTGAACCTTAGCGGAATGAATTTCGAATGAACAATACTGGGTGTTCCATTTGAAAAAACTCGTCTTCGAGTTGCCCCGCTTTTATGAAACACCCAGTATTGTTGAAAATATTTTTGAAATGAGCATCTTTAGTACCTAACTGAATTAGTTTTTTCTCCAAAGTTTTTCTCTTGTGATAATTGATTTCGAGATATCGAAGAATTACGCACTAAATGGACACACTAAAAAAAATCAGTAAAAAGTTACCGGTTTCGGCACTACGACCATCATCAGACAAGGCTACCTTAAATATTATGAGACCCTAATAACAAGAATTTTTTCTATTTAAAAAACATACCAAACAGTGGGACTCAAAATATGAATCAGTCAATCATATATACTATCATGATACTGTACTATCATATATATACTATCATGATTGACTGATTTATATTTCGAATCTCTTATCGTTTGGTATGTTGAAAAAAAATTTCTCCTCATCAGTATGTCACATGATATTTAAGGTACCCTTGTCTGATAATAATATAATATAACATATTTTTCATGCACATTCACGAAAGTTGATTGTGCTACGAATTTTAGAGCAGCACTTCTGAAGGATTTCGAAATAATGGAGAAAATTTGGAAATAAAAGTATTCTTCAAAACGACCTCTCTTCGTAAAGTAAGTTTACTTCAATCGGCCTATTTTGGTCTCTAGTTAACCCACTAGAGTTTATGGTACGTTAATCTGGGACACCTTGTATAACCAATGTTCACCCCTTATGAACATGGCGATGTTGTCATGCATGAATACTTTTGAATATTTTGTTATACAATTGAGAATTGTTGAAAATCTTCAATGTCAGACATGCTCCTTTCAACCGGATCATGTAGGATTTTGCCTACAGGACTGGTTCCCACTTGTTTTTTCTACAAGTGATTTATTTATAAAATTACTTTGATAGATGTCTTGGAAAAGGAAATACATATTTCCGAAAGCTCGACTATTTAACGAAAAGTTCTCATTTAATGCCAACATTTTTACTGCATCCTCATACAGAAAAAATATTGTGTGATACTTTGGCATTTTTTACCCTAACTAGTCAGTCAGACAGTAACCAGTATTGTATGCAAATCAAACTAACCCAGTAGATAAACTGCCACTGCCTGTCGGAGTTTCAGCTTCTTAAGAATGGAATCGTTCTATGTAGCAAAATTACAATTTGAATTATTATCTTCTTTGTGTTGTTTAGATAAACTGTAACTAATGTGTCCATTACGCATATTAACACCCATCCCATCAAGCGCAACTGTTTTTATTCATTTTTGCTGCTATAAATTGAATGTATGCTTGCACACTGAAAATTGATGGAGATTAGGTTTATGATATTAAAATATTGAATATTGCAGTTTTCAACCATTTATCACTTGAAATAGTTATTTATGTATCCAGGACGTGAAAAAGTATTTTAAAGACCTCCCAGGAACGATAGAAATGCATCTTGATGACTGCAGTGAGGAATATCATTGACTATTTCACTCATCACATAATCTGAGTAATCTGACCAATCACAAGCCAGAGACAACGTGTTCTGATTGGTCTATCAGCGTTGATGTTTTCAACGATGTAACCATGGATAGCGATGCAACGTCTGTCAGTTTGGCATATAATAATGATGGCTGTACTTGTCAGAATGAATCACTTATTTATAAAATTGTTAGGATCAAAAGTGACACTTTGTTTGACAAGCGAATTTTGCTGTTAATCCGAATGAAACATGCTATTATTTGTTCTGCAACCGAGAGAATTGATTAAAATAAATATGTGAAGTATAACCACCAATGTGACTTACTTGACAGATTATTATAATACCTTTATTATAATGATATAGGTAAGTATTTAGATAGAAGCAAGACCTCAGACTACTTTACATTAGAATATTGGTGGACGATGACTTTACTTTGTTACAATTTGTGTTGACATGCATCATCACTATCATCAGATACTACAGGCACGAATTCAATACTATACCCGAAACGTGGATGTTGTGCCATATGTATGCATAGCAAAAAATAATCTGTGTGGTGAGAATATTATACCTTCATTTACAGATCAGGTTTATTAAATTTTCAAGGATGTTAGAATTTCAGTTCAAATATAAATACAACCACTGAGTGACAAATTTGTGTATTCTATTGAATCGATTAGTGATTCACACTCACACGAGACCAACGAGACGAGACTTTCATAAAGTCTCGTCTCGTCTCGCCGATGAAATATAAAGTCTTGTCTCGAGTCTCGTCTCGCAGCCTCCAGTCTCGTCTTGTCTCGCTTCTCGTACGAGAGTCTCGCAGATGTATCGCAATTTCGTCATGCATAATCTTGTTCCATCAGTCTAGTACGGGATATTTACCTCTACCTACTTTTTAGGTATAATGTAGAAGTAGGAAGAGAAAATTACAACAAAAATAACATTATTTATTGAAAAGTAAGTACCTTACATGCTTACATCATACATCTGAACAAGAAAACTGAAGTAGCTGGTATGCTCAAGAGATCTCGTGCCATCAAACTTAGAATGTAGTTCAATCAACGAACACTAAAAAAGGCGGAATAGAAGAAAAAAATCGTGTAGTCGCAAATTTTTGTATAGTGGTGAAGGGAAGTGTCATTAACAACATACTTAAAGTCCTGATCCGTAGGGGATGAGCGCGATGGTGGGGGAGTGTTTGAAGGTCATTTTCTCAATCAGTTCTTGAATAATTCGAAAATCGTGACCTCTAGCGAAAAAATATAGGTATACAAAATTGAACTACTCAAAATTTTCTATAAAAAAGCTCCTATTCACTTGTTGTCTACAATGAATAGTTTCTGAGATACAGGGGAAACAGAAATCGAAAAGTATAAAAAATAGTTTACTGATATGCAATTCATGTTTGATGTGTCACTATTGTCCTGCGTTTCATGAAATGTATACCTATAGACTGCTTCTCATCAAATGATGGCTCTTACTATAAAAATAAGGACTGGTAGCATAAACTTTTTTAATGAATCAACTCAGCTAACTTTGTTCGTATCTACGTTGCCATAGATATGAATAAATTGATCACTCAATCCACCACCTCAGCCATCTATGATAAGAGCAAAGGTGGAATTGTCAAGCTCTTCAGCAAGTTTCCTAGGAAAATGAAGACAATATCCGACATTTTCACCAACCTCTCGACACAAGCAGACAAAGTTACACAGGCTGGCGAGAAAATATTTTTTGAAATGTACCAAGTGACTGCAGATCAACAGGATCTGAATAAACTTCGGTATGCTGCATTCTTGAATGCATCAACAAAGCCAAAACCAAATCTCGCCTCACTGCCACCAACCATAGGAGCAGCGCAACAACACTCATTCAGAGTTTATTTACAGGTATAATAATTCAATCCAATCCGTATCATGCCTCTACAATAATATTTATTGGTTATATTTCAACAGGTACAGCAATGGCTCAACAATCCTCTACCCCCGACTGAGTGGGGGTGGAACAGAGGAGAGGATGGATCGCTCATTCCAGTGACAACCAGAGATCCAATAGCACCTGAAGCGATACTGAACAGCATATTCTGCCGATGTTCTACTGGAAGTGGAGGACGAAGTGGTTGTCGGAAAGCTGGAATTCCATGCTCCATGGTGTGCGGCATGTGCCATGGTACATGTACGAACGGTGCACCGTTACTGGATGTGGAAAATGACGATGAAGATGATGATTAATTGTTGATATTATTAGGACGTATTCATTCAATTATGTCTGTTCTCAATGAGTAATGTATTTTTTCTGTTAATATTCAAGTTGAACACCAATTCCATACCATTAAACTATTTTTGATACTTCTCGATTTTTTCATCCCTTGTATCTCAGAAACTATCCATTGTGGACAACAAGTGAATAGAAACTTTTTTATTGAAAATTTTATTTACTTCAATTTTGTATACCTATATGTTTCCGCTAGAGGTCGCGATTTTCGAATTATTCAAGAATAACTTGAGAAAATGACCTTAGAACGCTCCCCCACCATCGCGCTCATCCCCTACGGGTCAGGACTTTTAGTATGTTGTTCATGGCACATCCCTTTGCAACTCTGCAAAAATTTGCGACTACACGATTTTTTTTCTCTATTTTTCGTTCGTTTACTGAACTAATGGGAAATTCAGAAGCATGAATTTTCCATACCATTGCACTATATCTGTGTTTTTATTACACCGAGGCACAGAATAATATATTTGAAGCTCCTGCATCCATACTGCCGTCAAAACAAAGTTATTCTTTATCTTAGACTATTTAGCACAGAATGACTTATCTATAGATTATCAGGTAGTCATTCAATTTGCGATCTGTCGTTATTGCAGAATTGTTGCTTCATGCGATCATAGGTTGAACCTACGAGCAGTAACAACTAAAAAAATATCAAAGCATAATATCGGAATAGGAAGAAAAGTTTCAATCTTCTGTTGTAAGTAGTGAGATAGTTTCAGGTATATCATAAATTTTCTGAGGTTCCATGACCAAGAGTTGAAATTACTCTTTTATGGCCAGTTGAAAGTTATACAGTCAATATTATGTATAATTTTTGAACTGAATCATCATGATGACATGCTTATTAGTCACGAGCAAACAACCAAAATAGAGCATAATAATTCGGGAAGGCAGCATTATAATAATTGCCAAACAGCCTGACGAAATCTCATAATCCGGAAGCATCTCTCCTTTGTAAGCAGGACTCTGATTGCTGACTTCGGAGTTGTCTGAGACTCGCTTGTTTCCGGGCCTGATTGTAAACTTAAAGTTCGTTCCCCCTGGCCCCTCCTGCCCCCTGAGCACAGCCGCCCTCCTCCTCTCTCTCTTTCTCTTGTTAGCCCGTCAGTTGCCATGGAGACGGTCTTCCCGGCAAACTGCGATTCACTGGAAGGGAATTACGGCTATTATGAGATTTGGATGTTGAGAACGATGGGGACGCCTGGGTTTAGGTAGGGCATTTTCGGGATATACTTCTGGATGGCAAGTTTTCGATGAAACAATGTGAGCCAAATGAGGCTACTTCAATTTTTTGACGTAACCTGCTTTACTATACACACTATAGTAAACTCCATGAAAACCAAGTCATCTGAAACAAATAGGAGGAAATTTTCCCATGACATCATCACTTTTTCTTTCCTCTAATGAATTCCTTCCTCAATCATATTCGAATCTACCACCTATTGATATAGTTCTCCTTAGGTAAGGATGAGTGTTCAACGGCTGGAATGCGATGGAACCCATGTGCTTAAATTAGCACACCAGAATCATGGACATCATGATTGAGAATCCTATGATCGACATGGAAATCGATGTTATGCCTCGACAACTTCCAATTGATAAACCATACAAAATCCTGGTGAACTTGGAGAGATGGTACCGACCAAGAGTTAAAAACTGTCGTTCACTGACCGACCCAAAATGAATAGAGGTACCGGCGCTGGAATTCATGATGTAATCCTGAGAAAGAGATATGATGGCGGAGAGTATGCCTAGCGAAACATTTTGGCATATCAACGGAATCATCACTGAATGCACTAAACAACACGAGCTTTATTGATCGCGTGGTGGGTCATAAAACCAGGAAGATGGCGATGGGTAAACGAATACCAGCTACATCTTGAAGTGGGTTTAGGACCCTGCTTGTTGTTAACCACTGAACTATACCCTACAAATGGAATGCTGATGCAGCCACCTGCGCGTGAAAATTTTACGCCTCCCAGGAGATCTTGACCTTAAGGTTCTGCGTCGGCGCAGTAGAACCAAGATATGAAAAGAATGTCCGTGATTATTGAAATTTCTTACAGCCGCAGACGTATGTCGTTGATTAGGTGTGATCCCATCAGGAGAGGCTTGAATATTTTTGTGCCCATCATCTGCCACACCGTTATTATTGTTTGTTTGTTTGTTTCGTGAGTTTCGTTTATATTTTTGAGTTGTGATCGTGATTTTGGTGACTTATCAGTTTGAAGACTATTATTAGACAATATGGGCCAGGGATGCATGGTGTTCTTGTGCCGAAATCGGAAAAGAAAACAAGGTTTATCCTATTTCAAGTAAGTTATCAAACAAACTCGAATGTACTAGAATAATAGATGTGAATTCATACCAGTATATAGCTGATAATAAGAACAACAATTTTTCAGAACTACAATTAGGAATTAACAATCAACAATTAATAATCATAAGGGTGTTTATACATATCTGAGATAATTTGGGAATTAGATGTGAAATGTCTTTTGATTAAAAATCAGAATGATGTTAACAAGTGATTTTGGTCCCCACAATTCATGAATCCATAAGAAAAAATATCACACCAAACTCCACTTGAACAATAATATGAATCCAATCTTCATGTTATGTCTCCAGAATCTCCTAATTCTCAGTTGTTGAGTTGAAAGTTGGCCAACTTTGTAATTCTTAATATAACTGACCTGAGTTCACAGTTGTTAGTTTAATTCTCAGTTCAGTTGAATCTATAAATCCAGCTTTACCATTGTATACATATATGAATATAGATAGGTTTTAGAAAAACATTATATTTTTTGTGTTTTCAGCTTGACTCAAAAGAGATATTCCTCATGGATGCAGGCACTGGGTAGAGATCCTAAAGCTGAGAAACTTAGCCAGGCCAACTGTATATGTGAAGAACATTTCTCGAATGAAGATTTCACATATTCCAATAACAAAAAATGTTTAATGAATAACAGAATGTATTTCATTTTGTCTTTCCTAAAATGTATTTGCGTCTATCTTGCCTTAAAAAAATGTTTTCGGTTGGTAATTATTGAATAAAAATGTAGTTGCCTATTCGATGTTTTATTTAATGTTTTCAATATTATTACTCAGTGAAAAACGAGGTGAAAAATATATTAGCATTATTCACCTACCTATATTTATATGTATAATTTAATTTCATTTGGTGAGAATGTGTACTTGCTACCCTTTTTCACCTTTTGAACAAAATTTCAATTTTTTGAGACTCAAAGTCTGTTGTCTATTTTCTCTGTTCCAGATAAAAATATTAATTCCATCAAAGAAAAAATATATTTTTCTGTGACGGGAAAAAAGTTTGTCATTTCTTCTCTGTTGGCAGGTTATAAAATGTCACTTTTCATAAATTACTTTTTTCCCGTGGGAAAAAAGTGAGTACTTCTTTCCCGGATATATATCACATATATATACTCTGTTAATGGCTTTTGTTGTGCTATAGTTCCGAAAAATAAGTCAATAATACCGTCTCCGAGAAAGAACTGCAAGTCCTTTTATCTTCCATTCGACTTCCCGGTTTCGTATATTACTAAACAACTACTGAATTCGCAATTTTTTGAAATCAAATCACAGAATTGAACTGACAGAAGTGACATCAGATATTTGATTACTTCAAAAGAATGATAAAGATGTCTATAAAACGCAGGTGTCCCTACTGTTAAAAACTTGAAATTTCACGTCGATAATTTTCAGATTTCGAAATAATGTAATATCTTCCCAATTCGTCCTTCCTTCTGTCACAGAAAAAAATAGTGTATTATACACGGGAAAAATATTAGATTTTAGCTCACGGTTTTTTGTCTCCCTCCGCTACGCGTCGGTAGACAACACAACCTGGAGCTAAAATCTACTACTTTTTTCCCTTGTATAATAAATAACTATTTTCGAATGATAATTTTTACGAAGCTCGGCAAAATAACGCCGAAGTATTTTGTGTTCAAATGTCAACATTTGATAACAGTCTTCGAAAAATGTAAATTCACAAACTATTATACATTATAATTCAACATACTTCAATGGGCAAGAAATAAACGTTCATTGGCAAGACCGGCCCTGGTTTCAATATGAGTGCGCATGCTCACAACCTTAAATTCGCCATGTCTGCGCGAGGTTCAAATGAGCGTATTATTGATATCATGCATCGGCATTCCATTTGTAGGGTATAGTTCAGTGTTGTTAACTGGACTACAAACAGGCTACTGCTCCCTAGGAAAGCACCTGCACCGCCTCCTCATAGGGGTACTCACAGGACACAACAGGCTAGGCAGACCCCTAACATTTATGGGAATAGAGGACAACCCCCCTTGCCGCAGATGTGGGGAAGACGAAGAAACGTCACTCCATTTTCTCTGCGAGTGCGAGGCGTACGGGAGGCTGAGATTCGTGAAGAAAGGAAGCGTAGATATGTGGAGAGCAGGGATTAGCAGAAAGGGCCCATCGGGGCCTACGTGCTTGGCTACAGCCTCCCCACCTACTAGTACTACATACCTAACAAAACATTTAGCATAGCAACGGAATCATCACTGAATGCAGTAAACAACACGAGCTTTATTGATGTCGCGTGGTAGGTCATAAAAACAGGAAGATGGCGATGGGTAAACGAATACCAGCTATATCTTGAAGTGGATTTAGGACCCAGATTGTTGGTAACTACACTACTAACATGCTACTGCTTCCTAGAAAAGCACCTGCATCGAAAAGGCATATTTATGGATGAACCAACTTGCGAGTGCTCATAAGAGGTTGCAGCTATAGGTATATATAATATCGAAGCCATCGTAGTAGAAAAATACATATGACAATGAACAAAATAATATTTCTTGAAACGCGAGGTTCTAGATATTCCAATTTGGCGCATTGACCCCAGCAATCTCAAGAAGTATGATCCCCCAGGCATGCGAACAGTATTCGTTCTAAATTAATGAATGAGTACTTACTCAAGAGATGATAAGATAGAATGAGTTTGTAGATTGTCAAAAGCTGCTGTGCTGTGATATACTACTTAGCGCAAAATAAAATTATCACCTCCTATAGTAAAGTTATTGGTGACATGATCATGCCAAGACAAATTGACAGGTACCGTGGAGCATTATAATACCGGGTGACACAGGGTATCGGGCCACCCCTGTAACTTCTGCTTTCGTCATAGGATGTTTCTGAAATTCGGTACAGTTATATAAGCAATTATTTCGGATTTGATCACATTACAATCCAATATGGCGGACTTCCGGTATTTCTGGAAATTTCAGCAACTTTGTTTTTTCAAATGAAACACCCTGGATATTTTTACATATTCAAGTTCAACAGGTCGAAACAAGTGCACTCTTTATTTCAAATGTCATTTTTTCGAAAAAAATTAAACTAAAATTGTTTTTTCATTTTACGTCGTGGATAAATGAGATGTGGTCAAGACTATTCAAAATGAGTCACACATAACAGACGAACATAATTTTTTCTGAAAAATTATTTTTGGTGTCACTTATCCAGGAATCATTTCAGCCACATCACTTTTTGATCAAAAATTATTTTTTTTCAAATGGAACCCCTATGGGCCACCTACCCGTTTCTCTAGAACATACATTAACCCTTTCGCTACTAAAGGGTCTTATATGTCCCAAGAGGTTTTAGTTCTTAAAAATACGGCATCATTTTTTTTTCGAAATTATTATTTTTTAATGAATTATCAATAAACGCTACTTTCTTGGTAGAATTTTACAAACAATGAAATAGTAGGTGGTCATCTAGGCAAAATACGGCTTGGGACATATATATCCCTTTAGTGATATAAAGAGGGGCGTATATGTCCCGGGCGTATTGTAATGAAAACACCTGAGCATTTGTTCGTAGTGCTTTATTGTGAAAAAAGAAATATTACGAAAATATATGATAAGATGCAAAACATAAGCTGCATAAAGGAATATTACAATAAGAACAAATAGTTGTCGTCCGTTTCTCCTTCTTTTCTTCGGAACAGCTGCGACACCGTTTTCTAGTTTTTGTAACGACAGGTAAGTGGTCACCAACATTTATTAGATTTTTTGAGGCAATATTCGACCGACTGTATGCGCGTTTTCTGATAACATTCGCATTTCTACGGCCTGCAAGATTTACGAGGAAACTAAGAAATGGAAGTTTTGGGTTATTACGCAGTTCTTTATAAATAATCCAAGCGTTAACAGCAGTAGTCAAAAGAAGCTTGTAAAAAACTTTTTTCCACCATTTTGTGGATTTTCTATCAACTTCGTATAAACCGGTAAACTGGTCTGACAAATCCACACCACCCATGTTAGCGTTATAGAATTGTATTGCTTCGGGGCATTGCAAATTTATTTTAGAACCATCTTTTGACTTTCGACTAATTTCAACCCTTTTATCTTTATGGCAGTTGCTAAGAATCATAACTTCCTTTGTGTCCTGCCAAAGAAATCCTATTGTTCCATTACCATTTTCCATGCTTTCCATTTCCCCTCTCTTTCTTTTCTTTTTTTCAAATTTTGGCATATTTTTTCTTGAAGATATACATGTTCCGACTGCTGGAAATGGTAGCGTATCAACCAAATTTACAGAAGTAAAAAATCTGTCAAAACAAAAGGACACTTCTGGACCTTTAACAGTTGAAGTAAGTTTCTTTACAACTCGTTCTCCTAGAGTTCCATCAGCTGGTTCATTTTCTTTTCCACAATAGATGTTGAAATCGTAAACATAGCCTGATTTTGCATCACAACGTTCCCAAATTTTTATACCACGTTTTATTGGTTTCAATGGTAAATATTGTTTCAAAGCTGATCTGCCTTTGAATTTGGTCATTGATTCGTCAATAGATTGGTGCGAGGATTCTGATCTTGATTTTAGGAATGTACTTTTCAGACAATTAACGACATCTTCAATGTAATAAAGTTTGCTACAGTTTTCTGGTTTTTTTGGAGAAGTAAAATATAGTTTGCTTACTAGAAGCTGAAATCTGTCTCTGGAAATGGCCTGTTTTATAGCTTCATTGCCTAAAGATTTATTAGTAGACCAATAATGATGCATTGAAGGAACTTTATTATACGCCATAGTAAAGAGACAACCTATGACAATTTTTATTTCATGTGCATCGGTTGGTTTGTGTTTTTTATATAGCTTCTTACTTGCTTTATTTACAATTTCCAAACGCTCATTTGTGCACTGAGCAATGTAGTTGAATAAACTATTTGGAAACAATTTCATGAAAATATTCATCTCGGATGACCCGCGGTTCAAATCTGCCACGACAGAACACGATTCATCATTTGGAATTTTCATGCGCGGAACAAAACCTTCGCTAACTTCTTTCCATCCAATGAGAACAGGATCATTCTTATGTGGAACAGGGGAAAAATTAGCATCAGGTACATGCACCTCAGTTATATCATTCTCATTACTCTCGGAAGAGCTGGAGTAATATAAATCATCCGGTTTTCTGGCATTAGTTTTTTCGAGAATTCGAAATTTTCTGGGTCTTTCAATATCTGACTCACTGTCTGAGTCGGGCTCCGATTCAATATACTCGGAACCGCTATCTTGGAATGGATCCTCAAGTGACTCCACATCTGATAAATTTTCAGCTAGGACATTTAGTTGTTTTTCATTCAAACGTTTTCTGAAACAAAAACGAACAGTCTGTACTAATATTACTGCTGGGACATAATACGCCTACAATAGAATACGAATGGGACATATGTATCCCGTAAACCCGTAAACTAAAAAGTCTGTAAACAAAAGGGACTAAAATTAAAAATATGTATGTAATATGTCTTACCTAGACATTATGGCACTCCTTGATATAAATTTGTAATAGAAACGTGCGTTTTATAACATAAAACTGCGCTTAAATAATAACCACATGTGCACCAAAACAAATAATGAGGTTAACTGATGTTATAGGTTGGTAAAGTCGAGTTTTGCGCGGGCACATTGATTCTCGGTACTCTCAGAACGGTTGGGACAGTGTCAAATCTGGTTTATGATGCGTTCAAAGGCTAACAGTATTCTATAAACTTTTAGTGGGACATATATAACCCAATAGTAATTTTCAACCAATATTTTTTGAATTATAGCCGTATTGAAAGGGTTAAGGAACAAAATGAAATATCATTTTTGTTTTTCGGTGCAGTAACAAATTGTATACATTCAAAAATCAACAACTAGTTTATGAATTTCCTTGCATTTAGAATAATTTTTCAACTAGGTAGGCTGTGGAATAAATGACATTTGACATCAAGATTGCACTCGTTTTGACCTGTTGAACTTGAATATGTAAAAATATACAGGGTGTTCCATTTGAAAAAACGAAATTGCTGGCATTTCCAGAAAAACCGGAAGTCCGCCATATTGGATTGTAATGTGATCAAATCCGAAATAGTTGCTTATATAACTGTACCGAATTTCAGAAAAATCCGTTGACGAATGTAGAAGTTACAGGGGTGGCCCGATATCCTGTGTCACCTATAGATTTGATATATGCATATGCGGCTATGATGGTTCATAATCGGATTCAGTACACCTATTCCAGTTGTATTTCAGAAAGCGTCGATTCAATTTCAGAAAACTTCAGTTAATTGTATTTCAGGATAGTCACTTGTATTTCAGGAAGTATCAATAGGCGAGTGGACACATTTTTTTTTATTTCTTGAATAGAATCATCACTCAAATACCTTTCAATTGCATTTTTTTGGAGTATTTCGGTCGATTTTCATGTGCTTAAATCACCAATGATGCCACGGTTTTTTAAAACGACTATAGAAATTTACCGCGATTGAAAACTGACGTCACGATTTCGTGTGTAGGAGCAGACCATAGCACAGTCTCAGATTAAAGGCTAACGTAAAGATCCGAACTCTCTTCGCTCCGAGGCCCGGAGTATAGTTTATTTAATTTAAGTACAGTACAGTAGATTAACAGTTTTACAAATATTATACGTATTAGTCTGACACAAACGAACAAAAAAAATGAAACCACAAAGCTTTCGCTGTCCGTGGTGAGCTCACATTCATCTACGAATTTGAGTATTCACACTAGTGTATAATACATAGTGAACAGTAATCGAGTACAAAAAATAGTATATAATTATTAGGATGAAACATGATATAATATAATAGAGAAGATAATTAATGTACACATGAAAATGATAATGAATATAAACACACTTTCAGGTTTCAGAATTAAAGTTGTGGAATGGAGAAGTTTCTGAGATGAAATTCAAGAATCGTGGTCCTAGAAACGCCAAGCATTTGGTACCGACTGTTGACAAATTTCCTATTATTTTTTCCCTACGTCGGTATCAACGCCTATTGGTCGATTTCATTACCTATGGAGACAGAAATGGGTCCCGCTTTGAGGAGAGCTATGATTCATATATCAGTAGTAGATATATATGGTTTATATATATATATATATATGGCGAGATGGGGTTTCTACGTCATAAGAGGGTCTCCGTTTTCAGAAGGTACTATCATTTATGTCCAAAAATAAAACATTCCAGTTAATTTTTCGATCGAATTATGTCGTCAATCATTATTTATGTATAAAAGGATCATTATAAACATGGTTTGAGTTAAAAGTTCTACTAAGGTGTACACGCCCATTATCCCTAGATATTTAATTTTGTTGGTAAGTTTAATTTGGATAGTTTCATTATGGATATTCATCTCTAGTGAGGTATAATGAGAAAGATTATTTTTGTAACTTGTTATACAATAGAGAGGAACATCGTTTTATCAAAATTTATAGTGAGTAACTCATGACCAAACCAATCAATAAAATAATAATAATAATAAACTGAGGAGCGATAAGCCAAAACCAGATGAATCCACTTTTGGGCAAAAATGATTTCATGATCGATTCCTATTCCTTTTGTTGAGATAAATCGGATGGCGCAATCTATTTCAACCATAATATTTGAATCCCATTCAAAATCGACCTCAAAGTCGAGCAATTCGAGCAAAACCAGATAAATCCCAAAAAAGAAATGGCATTGGTCTGTTTCGAACCCAAAGGGGATGAATAAAAAATAAAAATAAATAAATCAATAAAATTAGAGAATGCCTAATTAACGTAAAAGATTTGGTTATTTAACATATTTTTATTGAGATAAACACTTTTTACATTATGAAATTAGTCAACTCAAGCAAAAACAGATAAATCCATTTTGTAATTTGCAATAATCACTATGTTAATCATAAAAAAAAAACAGTATTTATGAGGTCTATATATCATCATATTTCAGATACACCATTCATTCTCTAGGTTAAAGTTACGGACGTCCTATATAATGGACGTTTTTTCGCCATTATCTCAAAACTTGATGGATTTATCTGGTTTTGGCTGATCGCTCCTCAACTATAGTTCAAGATTTTTCTTTCACGACTCATTTGCTTATTGATCGAGTACACGCGAACCAGCGACCTGAGAGGAGTCACAACATAACCGAATAATCTTTCTTTTCGTATCACTTTGAGTGTGCTCTATATTTACGCAACGTCGGTGCACTCCTCTATTATTTCCGATGATAGCGCCACGCGTGTGCCTCCTATTATTCAAGTCCATCGATAAAATCTCGATGGAAATTCGATGAGAACGGTTTTTGGAGGACGCAAGGCGAGCCACGTTCGTCAGACACGTTTTCCTAATTAGACTTGAATGTCGATTCAATAGTGTGTGGTTTCATGCAGTAGGCTGGGCCTCTATGTGTTTGTTTCCTTTTGACTTGGTGCTTTCAGTTTCGATTTTGGCCTTTGGCACCGAAGGAGGATTACCTTCCACCACACTTCCACAGAGATCAGTTACCCACTCCTTCCACTCGACCACTGTTGGAGTGTTCACTGTTCAGAACTCTGGTGAAAGTAAAGTAGTTATACCACTAAATAACCTGAATAATGACGAAGCTCAATTAAAGAATCTGACTAAATTCTACGTGATAGTATATTACGTGATATGTGTTGTAAGAAGCATATTACGCACGAATGGATAAATTACGCACGCAGCCGCGGAGCGTCAGGTGCGTAATTCCATGAGTGCGTAATTGCTTTACAACACGCATTACGTACTATACTTTACCTGCTGCCATAAAGTACTTCAAAATAAATTGTACAAACAGTCTGAATTATGATTCTGGACAGTTATGTCATCCGCTGTTGACGACGATTACGCGATCATGACATACCTATATATACTGGCGGAATAAACGAAAACTGGTGCGATGTGCTTAATGTGCGTTAAGTGCTACTTACTGAGGCTGTATCTCGTGTGTTCTTGATGCCTACTTTCTATAGTGGCCGTAGGTAAAATAATGTTTTTGGGGCAGTTTTTAGTTTTCCTGTTAGTTGAAAGATAGCTCAGACACAAGGGGTTGTCCTGTATCTCAATTCTCATAAATGAAGTGAGCTATGAAAATGTCATTTGCGGTATCGTGAGTCACAATAAAGTAGCCAATTTTCTTTCCATTCGTGCAAAATTCTGATTATAATTTTGTTCTGGAGAATTTGGTAGATACCTACCTTTACAGGGTGAGACAAAAATGTGTACCGAGCTTCCTGGAGGTGATAGTACATTGAAAAATAATAAGTGGTATAGTTTGATGAATAAACTAATGACCCAAAATGTACATTAAGATATACATCCTTCCAAAGTTGGTAAAATTGAAATCATTTTCCCGCATAACTATGGTAAAATCCACCAGATTGAAATTTCCTGCATGAATGTATGTTGATGGAATACATTTTTCTGATACACTTCAACATTTCTGATATATTGTTATAAAGGGTATTTTTAGAGAATGGGTCATGATTTTTTGAAGAAAACTTTTTTCCTCATATTCCTTCTGGAGATAAAATAGAAACATTTGATAAAACGAAGAAAATTACATAAAACCGGTACTCTTATCAAGATACAAAAATTCTAACCGTTTTGGGAAGCCATGATCAATTTGGTTCTTAAGTTTGACGTTCATGACATGAACATCGTTATTGTTAATTTCCTTGTTGAGATTTTTTGCTAAGTAATATTATTACCTACTATGATTTTCAACTGAAATGTTAAGGAATTGCAGGTTAGAGATGGTGTCCGGCCAAGAAGTTCGAGACTTCCTGAAATATTTTTACTGATGAATTTTTTTCGCTGTATCAAAACTTCAAAACAGAGCCATAATAGCCATATGCGCATTGTTTTGTGGAAGCCTAACACCTATTAGTGGTATGTTGAAGGAACTGGAATGGCTGCCAATACAATCTTTTCTTCTTTACCAAACATTGATTCTAAACCTATTTACAAGAGAAAGTCAAATATAATGAGCAAATCCACGGATACAACATTAGAAATCGAACCCAAAATTCATTTTTTTCAAAAGAGCCTGTCAATTTCAACAATCTGCCACAAGACATTAAAAGTATAACATCTCTAGCTCCCTATAATTAAAATCGTACCTCTACAATCAATGAAAAACTCAGTATATAGACACCATCTGACCATGTTTTTTATAATTTTTATTTCAATATGTATACCTATATGTGGCAAGTATGTTTATATGTGAGAATTGTACTTATTTAACTATTAAGTGTATTCTTATAGACATTATCCAATAACTGTGGTAACCTGAAAATGTGAAATGTAAATTAGTCTGTGACTATACAATAAAGGATTTATATATATCAAATGCT